AACGGAAAATGGAATGCCAAAGACACTTACCTAACACTTAGTAACCGAGTCTCTTCACCTAAGGCAAGTGTTGGGATTCGCATAAAACGGTGAAAGGTAACAATAAAAATAAGTTCAGGGGTAGAAATCCGCTGTCAGAAATAATAAGAAGAATACATGTCTGATTTTAAATCAATCTCATTAAGACAGTTTGCAAATGAAAGGGTAAATAAGATTTTTTAAGCCAAGTTTTTGTAATATTTAAAACAAGACAATTTTACCCCTAAAGCCCAATACCGATCTATATAGAGTTTGTGAATGTTGGAATCAGGATGCTTGATTAATTCTGTTAGGGATGACCTTATAGTGGAAAAGATCTATATACTCAGTATAATTTTAAGGCTACATTGCTAAGGAATTAGCAATGGTTAAGTTGGGGGGTGTGATAACCCTGCATTTTAATGCCTTAAGGGCATCAATTCAGGGGTATATTCGGTCTTAGAATAGTCAAGATGTGTTCATTTCCCAGTTAAATGCAATGTTGTGGCCTCTAAGGGTTTCTATGCAAATTCTGGGGAAAACTGTGAAGTTTTCATGGATGAGATGCAAATTTTGGGAAGTTGGTGTAAAGTCTAGTTGAGAAAGGGGGGTTTTGTGAAAAACTGAAAGCAGGAGGGCGCCTCCTAGCTGCTAAACCCAATTTGATGCCCCTCCTACTGTATTAGCATGCTCCCCACGCCTTAGCAAAACCCTATGGCACCTTTTAACCCATTCTTTTCACTCTTAACAAACCCTATCCACCCCTAACTACTAAATCCTCACCTTCCATCCCTTCTAATCTCCACCATCCATTCTAGGGCACTCTCTTTTTAGCATTCTACCCTAAGAGCCACCTAACTTTTAATCTTCACCATTCAGCCTTTAACCATTAAATCTCATCCTTACATAATATTAGGTGTCTTCTCATTTTCTTCTCAGCCTTAGGATCAACCTAGAACCATCTTAACACTTCATTCTAAACCATAGGGCACCCATATTTTTGCTAAAGCCCAATTGCCGCCCCCCTCTTTCTCTCTATTCCCAGTTGTGTCCACCATTCTCTATAAAAATGACCCCAGGGGCCCTGTAGAAGGGGTTGGTCAATTCACCCAGGTAAGAAAGAAGGCTGATCTTGAGAAGTTCAAGGGTAGAGGAAGAGGAGGACGCCCAAGCAAGATGAGGGGTTCCTACTTGCAGTTCGCCAACACCACTACTGCCACCTCTGGATTTGAATCCCAACAATTTTTTTCTTCAGTTTTAAAATTACTTTCTGTTCTTTAATTTCCAGTTCATTTTTCCTTCCTGCAAATTTTACTTTTATTAGATTTAATTTGTACTTTATTTCTTTTCTACAGATCTGAAATTCGGCCAGGTAAGACAGAAGGCCTAGCTCGAGAAGTTCGATGATCGAAAGAGAGATCCGGAGACTACTACCTCTGATCGGATTCTCAGACATTTTTTATTGCGTTCCTTTTATTTATTTGTTTCTATTATTTATTTATTTTAGGCACTTGTTATTCTTAGTACTATTCGAATTTGGTTTTAATGAATTCTATTTTTTTAATTAATTAATTTTATATTTCTACAACTCCTCTTTGTGTTCTCTCTCCCGGATTTAAGTACGTAATTATATTTCCCCTGCTTCCCTGTGAATACTACCCGTTCTCATCACTTTACTATGTTAGTAGTTGTTTGAGAATCATAATAAAATTATAAATGTTTAAACTAGTGTTCCGAAGTGATTAACGACATGCTTCCGGCTACACCAGAACCAAATGGACCTCTAAATCAATTCTGCAATCAAGAGAAATGTAATTTGGACTGATGAATCTAATTTTGTGTTTTGTGAAATTTCTGTAGTTTTTTTTATATTTTTTGAGTTACTCATGTAATTTTTTAAAGTTTCATTCAGTTGAGATTGGATTGGACCCAATCCGGTCCATTTGCATTTCAATTGGACCAATTTGGACTCGATTTGTATGGGTTTAGACCAAATTGATCCAGTCCATTTTTAAATGGACCCATGTTGAATTGGATCAGATTGGACCAAATCCAGTCCAATTGACACCCTGGGTCAAAGTGGGTTGGGTGAGGATATCCATTGGGTCGTCAGTCGGGGTTGAAGGTTTTTGAAGTTTTTATAATTTGGTTCGTTCACCCTCTTCTTTCGACTCAGTTATGCCTCCTTCCTCTCTTCCTATGTTTGTTTTTTTTTTACGTAACTCTATCTGCAAGTGTTTAATCTCTGTCTATTTTTTTTCTTTTTTCCATGTGCATTTATTTTTCCATAGAAGGAAAAGAATAGCAGCATGATTTTCTTCACTTTTCCTTGGTTTAGACAGAAACAGAGAAGGATGAAACAGGATAGAAATGGGGAAATAAGAGAAGAAAGCATTGATGGTCTCATTACCAAGTCTTAAAAAGGCGTATTGGCTTGTATTGATACTCACTCACCCTTTTTTTTGGAAACTGGTTCAGAGGGATTGGTTTAAGGCTTGTCTAACCCGTTAATTAGGTGACACTTTATAACCTCTGTAGGGATGTATCATTAAGCCAATGATGCAATATGATACGATACACCCAATACAGAACATATCCTATCAAAATTTTGAACCTTAATTCAAACATCTAAAACCCATTCATCTTAACATGTGATCAAACGAGATTTTCTTGGACTAGAATCACCACAGTATTGATAGGAAATGGCTTGGCACTCTCGAAAGACATGCACTATAAATGGATCTGGGTTTGTTGCAGTCGTAGTATTTTATATTGTCTGCAAGAAGCACGAAAAGATAGAGATGGAGATGGAGAGAGAAGCCGAAACTCAAAATCTGCTGTATCTGTTTCGTGGAGCAAGAGAAGCTGAAAGATCGAATTTTTCCAACAAAAAAAGGATTGATTTTTGTAATTTTTGCTATTTAGTCTAATAATATTTGTTTTTTGAAAAATTATAGTTTTGTATATTTTCTTTGATTTTTATCAGTTTCTTTTGTGTTTTCTACAATTCCTGTTTTTGGAATTTCCATCAATTTATGTACTATATGCAAAATGTAAATCATTCTACCATCACAGTCTATATCGGTCCATATCCATATTAATTGATAGCAAGGTTTTAAAAAACGACCCAGAACCGGAACCGTTCTGGTCACCAGTTTCTGGGTCAATGGTTTGACTGTCCGATTTGAATAAAGGGCCTGTTCCAATAAAAAAAAAAAAACTAAAACCGTTGAACGGGTCAACAGTTCAATTTTGGATCAATGAATTGCTGACTAATTCAACAGTTTTTTTGTTAGGGATGGATTTGAAATAAAACGGAACCAGTTGCTTAGATGATTCCTGGGCCGAACATTCCAACCCATGGCGGTTCAAAAACTTTGACCGATACAATACTATACAGAATATACCAATGGGCACGTGTGAAATGGGTTGGCAGTTGGAACTAACTTCATCCTATACAAGATGTCAGACTCTAGAAAGTAGAAACCAATACACCCTGTGCTGAGCGTATGGAATCAGAAATTCAATATTTTAAACATTTTATTACACGGATTAAGTGGTTTCATGTCTAAAAATCAGGCATGAGCTTGTTGATGAGCTCTAATCGACCACCATGGCGGATTTAATCCATCACCAGCTGCAGGAAGCTCTGCTCATTCTCACTCGGCTTCTACTGTCATCAAAGACCCCAACGGCGTTGTTTTGTTCACTGTTCAAAATATTGGTAATTTTGGAGAAATCCTTATAAATCATACAAATACATCAATAATATTAAATCTAAGATAAAAATATCTATGAATATGATATAAATACATAAGAAATGCACACTTTTAAAGTCTTTAATAATTTATCTGAAGAGATACATCTACAGGAAATCTAGAACATGTAAATTTCATACATACCAATAATACATCGAGCAATGTGCTTCCTATCTACTAAAAATTTATTACAAGAATTGTTAAATCAATGAATTTGACAGATCATTGATAAAACCAGCTTATATTCCATAGTACAATGAAAATCATTTAAAATATATAAAAATATTTTTTGTATTTTTCAGAAGTTTCAAATTTGAGGAAATCTATATATACAAGTTTGGACCACCATTGTGATAAGATTATATGTCAATGATCCACACTGCCACCAATGACCTATGCCAAACAAGAACTTTTAGTGACGGTCATGACTACAGTTGGTTTCATTGACACAAGCATGGTTTTAAAACTGTCACTGATCCATGTGGCAGATCCAGTCCATTATAAATGGACCAGGTCCAATCCAATTCAATGAATGTTTTGGACCAATTTGGACCGGTCCAATTCTGTCTTAACCATCTAATCTGTTCAAATTCATTTTAATTTAGATTAATTTCAACTCAAACCCCATTGACACATATTCTTATCTTATATCAATGGATCAGATATTGATTTAATCCAACCCAATCCAAATAAATTTGTTTTGGTCCAATCTAATATATATTTTAGACCGAATAGGTCCAAATCCAATGTCTTATTGGTCCATCCAAATTGATTTTGGCCTGGATAGAGTCCAATCCAAAATCGGTCTATTAACACCCTAAATTCAAAAAAAAAATAATTGAATTGGTCAACAAACCACTAACCTGACGATTGAAATACAACGGTTTCAGAGTCATTTTCATTTTAATTATTTTTAATTTTTAAAAAATGTCACAAGCGGTACTTCTGGGCGGATTTTCAAAACCTTGGGGACAGACAATTCCGCCCATGCCAGCACGTACCCATGTTTTTTGACATACGGTACACCCTGTAAAATATTGGTCTCATTAACATTTTGAGTTTTGCTTCCAGATAAAATACAAGATAACTAGCTTAGCTAGGCAATTTTTTTTTTTTGATGAATTTGGGCAAAAATTATGGACCCTTCAACTGATTGAGAGCAACAGTAGGTTTTGCCTTTATGGCTAGTCAGCTGTGAAAGCGAAAAGTACAGGCTGCACCAAGTAGGCTGAAAGAGAGCCAAGTGGCATTAGACTGCTGTGAGAACACGTCACAACAGCTGATACTTGAAGAATGTCAATAAGTACAATTCATCCTTTTAAATCCTCATAACCTATAATTTCTCATAGCAGCAAAACAAACATAAGTAAACAGATCATTGTCTTAGCACCTATGGAACCAATACTGGTTACTATTGGAACATATGAAATGGAAACAGAGGCATTATCTTTTGCTCCTAAAGCAGACTTGGATATAGCTAGAACTCTCAATCCCCATTCCTCGCCACTTTAGGATTAGTAGCGATCATAACGCCTGCATTGACAAATTAGAAAATAAATAGTTATGAACAAGGAAAGAATAGTGCAATTGAAATATGCTATAGATCCTACCAGTACTGTTATGAATTAGATTGTCAAACTAAAAAGCAACTGAGCATGCACAAACAGGCATACACGCAAGACCCAGTTCTTGCTTCCTCCCCCCATCCCCGAGGCCTCTCTCCTAGCAAAGGAGAGCTTCTTCCAAACGCGATGGGATTCCCTGCAAGCAAAACTCTGCACACACTCTGAGAGACCCAGTTCTTGCTTCCTCCCCCCATCCCCGAGGCCTCTCTCCTAGCAAAGGAGAGCTTCTTCCAAACGCGATGGGATTCCCTGCAAGCAAAACTCTGCACACACTCTGAGAGCATAGGAATCCAACAACACATAGGGAACACGTTCCCATGAATTTAACTTTACCTGATGTACGACTGAATGATGTGTGCAGAATTTTTGTTTGCAGGAGATCCAAGCTCCCACAATTTCAAAGGTTCTACTTGCTACTGTACAGAATGTAAATTCCACAGAATCATTATAGCTCATGCATGCTCTGGATGCGACATTGGTGCAGGTTTAGACCACGGAGAATTGGTATTTAAGAATGAACAGACCAAAAATGGTTTTCATTGCTACCAACAGGAGCATTACAACAGTTTCACATCATGGTCAATGGTGCAGGTTTGGACATGTAAGTCCAATAGTCGGTGAACTTTATAATTTTAGCTGCAATGGTTATTGTACCATCCACTTTCCTGATAAATATGCACGCACTCAGCATATTATTGCTGCAAAGACAATTTTCTCATGTATAGAGTATACCTGCAATGCCAAATACTAATACAATCCAAGTAACCTAGGAAAAGAAAGCATGAGCAGTAACTATTCCAATTATCATCATGGTTAAAATGTTCCAGAGACCTTGTGGAATTATAATTATGTATACAAATGGTCACAAGGAGACAGCTCTGCCACTACTTCTAATGGCCAGAAGACCACCAAACATGTGGGTGTGGTGTGTCTGACTTACTACACAAATAAAATAGAATATATTTGAGCCTGAGATTACAAAGCATAAATAGATACTTTACATACACAGATGCATGCGTTTGATGGGTCATGGGTCTGCTGTTAATCAGTGGCACAAAAATACAAAAAATGGTAAAAAATCAAAAAGAAAGTCTGAAAATTCAAAATAATAGCCAAAAAATTCAAAAAAATAAGAAAATATATTAAACATAGTATTAATAAATAATATAAACTTAAACTTAAAAAAAATGTTTTAAAAAGCCATTATCTAAAATTAAAATACATAAACATAACATGTAAAGTGTATTCAAATGAGAATTTAAAAATAAAATCAAACATTTAAAACATTTTCAAGCAAGCAAAACCCACAATCTCTTTTTTCCCTCAATTGCATTACTTCAAGTAGCTAATGTGATGTAAAACATATTATATTCCTGATTCTATGAGCTGCCTTTGATGCCCCTCAAAAGGACTGCAGCTAGGACCTAGGCAAGCCGCATACCCTAAAATGTGTCTCTCCTGTGTGCCTAGGTGTGCCTTTTAAATCACTGAAACCAGCCCAGCCCAAGCCTTAGCACAATCAAAGTTGGGTTTGGTTAAAGCTCAGGTTGGGTCTGGTTGACCTTCAACCCACCTGAGTTGCACACCTAGTGGCAGAAATATGCTGTTTCATGCAGGGAAAATTTCCTACTTAGATCCAACTGGTGGGTTTGCTATTGGGTCATCCATTGTGAAGTAACTACAAAGCTTCCACGAGGCAACATAGTTTGGAGCGAAGAAGAATCACCCAGGCCCCAGATTCCTTTCTTCCATATTCGCGGAATATGACCAAAAGCACATTGCCACATGTTCAGAAAAAGTACTTTTATGGAATCTTTTAATTAAAAGATTGAAAACTTGAATGGCTATTATAAATTGTGCAAAACTCCAATACAAGGAGGGGAACAAGGATGATGTGAAAATGCAGTGCAGTAATGAATATGTAGCAAATCCAGAGGGTTCCCCATTTGCATCAGCTACGATTCCTCCATATGGCAGAATAGGCTTGAATAAGCAAGTAACAGGGTTAGTATTATGCTGCTTTCTCTAGTGAATGGCTATGATGCATGGACAAATCAAAATAGATAATCTGTATGTTGGGTATCCAACTTTTAGGGCTTGTTCGTTTGCTTTGAAGTCTAACACCTGAAAGTTCAATAATTACATTAAGAGGTATATTGGTATTGGTGAACTTTTCTTTCCTCTAAACTCTGAATGCAGAGAATGTTGTTCTGAACTCTTAATTCCGAATTCTGAAAATTATCAAATATCCATACTATATATTAGAGTTTTTATTTGTCTTTTTGGGGGTATCATTGGAAAACAAAAAATTGTATGATTGCACTTTAAGAGATGAGAGATGAGAAGAAACGAACAACCATTTTTCTCTTAAAGTTAAAAGATTCCTCTTAAGAGATAAGAGTTTAGAGGAAACGAACAGGCCCTTAGTTTAAATACAATCAATGTGGATGGACACCTTGCCCTGCCATGTCCTTGTAACATGAGTCAATGGATCCCATTCCCAGACAAGGCAAACTTCAAGAAAGACACTACAGAATAGTATCCATTTAGGTAACTTGCTATGGATGCTGAAGCCCGTCCATGGCATGGCCATTATCATCACCAAAATATGTTCATGCAATTACTGATTAACTCACCAACTATTAGTAGATATCATTTATTATTGGGATTACCCATTTAACATCCTATCTGAGTATCCAAGTCTTAAAAGTCAATCATAATGTGAAAATAAAAACTTAACAGTGAAAGTAGTAATTTCCATGTGAAACATTTAAAAGTTGAGAACCACTACCTATGGCGATCATAATCCCTTGAACGTTCCTGTGAACGCGAACGTGACCTTCTGCGACTTCTTGAATCATAACTGCGTGAGCGGTCTGAATCTCTATTATCCCGTTCCCTATCCCGTTCCCGATCATACCCACGATCACGGTCATTATACCTATCCCGGTCTCTACTCCTTCGATCATAATCTTTCCCTCGTTCTCGGCTACCATTTCTATCCTCCCTATCACGGTCACGGTCCCTGCTACCTGCCCTGTCATGATCACGACTTCTCTCTTTTGATCTAAATAAAAAGATTCAATTTTATAAGGGCGATTGCAGGAAATATTTATCAATTTAAAGATTGCTCTGTATAAGATCAATAAACGCAAGAAAGAAGCACCTTCTATCATCATCACGGTCTAATTTTCGACTCTTGTTTCTCTCCTCCTGACAAAATTCATTTACCAAGAATGTACTGTTCAATACAAAACTTTGAATTGCAGCAAATGGTACTTTAAATGGGCACAAAGATGACTACAAACCATAAGCATGTAAGAAAAAAGACATAGCAAAAGGCCACTTGAACCAAATCAAGAACAGTAAAAACCACTTGAGCACAAGCTAACTAAAGAAGGAAATTTGTAATATTTAATAGTTTAATGTAATCAATATTTGTTTGTAATGATGTATGGATCTACATTTAAATGTTTTTCATTTTCAACAGTTATCCTACTATTTATATAGCATAAAGGACAAACTTAAAAATTGCTGTAACTTGAAACTAAAATACAAAAGAATAGTCTGCAAAGCCTATTTTTTTGGGCTATCCAAGTCAGACACCTCAGGCTCATACCTTCAGATTCCAACACTCAGTATCATCCATGTAATAAACTGTAAACTAAAATACAAGAGTATAGTCTACAAAGCCAATTCTTTTGGGCTATCCAAGTTAGACACTTCAGGCTCATACCTATTTCAGATTCCAACACTTGGTATCCATGTAATATAGTGTAACTCGCAAGTAAAAAAATTAAAATAAAATGAAAGATGTCATAAACACAACAAAACTACAGACTCTTCTGGGTTTAGAAAAACTCACAGATGGCACACTAACTGAAACTGTACACAAGAAAGTGAAATATTATACCAGCACCAGAATCAGCAAATTACAGAGTACTAACTCAAAATGTGCCCAATAACACAAGTAAAGCAACCAGGAGATCCAACCCATCAGAACATGCTTTGATGTGCATATCAACATCAAAATTGCACAACAGATGAACATATCAACATATCACTCATTAAGACAACAAGAACAAAAGAGATGAATCTCAATACATAGGCACCTTAGGCATTACGTTTAGTAACATATCCTTCTCTATAAACTTGTTAACCATAAGCAACTCCAACAGCAATCAAGAACACAGTTTACACAATAAATAGGATTAACTAACCTGAAGTTCTGCTAACTTGTCACGAATCTGCATATAACCCAAATGAAGCTTTCCACCAAAATGATCAGCCAAACGACGGTCACTGAGAATCACAAGGAAAATTAAAACAGCTCATTTATTACAAATTTATACAATCACTTCAGAGATCCTATATGTGTAATTTATATACTGTGGCCCCATTAGCTTCTACATTTATATGTAACATAAAACAGAAAAACACGCACATTCTTTAGCTGCAAAAGTTATCCTCGTAAAACTGGGCCCAAAAGCCTGCTGGTGACATGGAGGTATAATACGCCTGGTCAAAAGCTGAAGTACTTGAAAGCCCAAATACTACTCTTTTGTTGCCCTCATAGAAGCTAGGAAACATAAAATAGTGACTACAAGACACAGGACAGGAGTTTTACCTGTCATATACACTCAAGAATGCTCCACAAATGTCACAGACACGTAGCTTCTGATCAGTCTGCAAATGGTGCCAATATTAACAATGAGATAATTGTTGGATAATATTCACAACAACTACATATGAAACACAAACCTGTCACAGAAGCGAGCACAGATTATCAAGTAAAACCAGGAAAAAGAAATGGGCTGTCCACATTGGTTTACGAATTGCAGAAACCTAACCCAGGATGAGATTGAAGAGAAAATGCCTCAGAAATACCTTTTTTTTGTCTTCTTAGAGAGAGAACAGTTCTATGGAAACTTTGGAAATGCAACCCTAACAAAGCCAAAAACAAAGAGCACTGGAAAGGTTGATGAACAATAGCAATGTCCTAGGTTTACATAAACAGTCCGTTTGCCCCAAGGTGATGTTATAAACTGTAGATTACTTGATTTTTTTTTTTGATTAATTACTGTACAGTACTTGATGACCAAGCAACCCAAGTCATCCAATTGAGAACAGGTAAGAGATTTGCAGCCTAACACATCCAGAAGGCAAGTGGCACACAGAATTCTTTCCCTTTTCATGTCTTTCACTGGTGTACTTGCAGGTTTCTATGGAAACTAGAAAGAGACACCTAATCACTAAGGTCACAATTATGGTGCAATTGGATTTTGCGTAAATTGAACTGCCAATTCCACAAATCACTGAATTTAGTAATTTGTGCCTTTTGGGTGCTAAAGAATACAACAAAAGGCAGAAATTTTAACCATGAAATCAGCATTCTAGCAGAATTTGGAATAAAGTGGGGCCTAGTCTTTAGTTTATCAGCAGGCCTAGTTTTAGACAGGAGCAAAATTTAAAGTCAATTGAAGCTTCCATGATCCAAACACAGTTTAAAGGGCATATGTACAAGTACACAGTGAAAACATTCAAGGAGAAAGAACTTGTCTTTCAGAATAATCAGGATATGTAAATAAAATAACTGCTCTAGAAACTTACAATGCGAACATCAGCAGCAGTATACTTTGACGAGTCCAGAACTGGTTCCTGCCTTGCTCCCAACTAAAGTAAAAATAGAAATGTAAGAAAACCAGTCATGTGCACAACTAAATGAATCTTTTTTAAAATATAAGCAAACCTCTACAAGTTCTTGGCAAAACATCAACAGTAATTGGAAACACATGGCCATAGCCTGACCAATTTAAACACCCAGATAAAAAAAAAAAAAAAAAACATAAAAAGGAAAAAGGAAAAACCTTCTTAAGTGCTTCAGCCTCTTCTAAGGCCTTTTGTGCCTCATCTACCATTCCTTGCTCACCTGCAGGACAGACACTAAAGGTAAATATGGACACAAGACAATTTCAGAAACCTTTCAGCAATAAAATGAAAATAAGGAGCATGTCAAAATCTAAATATGACAATTATGACAACCACAACCTCACGACTTATCTATCAGTTCTGCGCTTGTTGAGTCCCCAACTCCAATTGGGCCCAAGAATATAATTATTATCTTTCCCTGAACTGTTTTCCAAACACCCCACCAATCCCAGAGTTTCTTGGGCTTCCTAAGCTGCACCCATCAAAATTCATTTTGATACAATTCATGGGTGGAGGGACCCAACTAGATGTTGACACACTTGCAGGAGTTGAAGAATTAGCAATACATTGCCATCCTGAAAATTCCTGATAGAGAAATCTTCTCCCTTGAAATTTGCTTGTTGAAACCTATTTTTCTAATTACCCTGGGTTTATTGCTTCCCTGTTTTTTTTTTTTGATAAATCTTTGCTTCCCTATTTTTCAAGGCTAGTCCTAAAGGAAGAAAGAGAGGTGCTTTCATCCCATAAATTACTCTACCATAAAGGTCCATAACTCATTCTTGAAACTCATCCAACACCCTAAAATAGTAATTTCTCCTGATTTAGGGCCATTATCATAACTCTACACTATTCTACACTGGTGTGAAAGCTTCAACAAATTATTAATTGAGACCCTTTAAGTTCTTTCATTAGAGATGGTATTGCAAGCCCCAAATCCCCCTTGGACTAGTTGCTGCAAACCAGGAGCAAACCCAAGACTTCCCCAAATGTCCAACTTAAATCCCAAGAATTCCCCTTCCCTTTCTTTGCATCATTAACCACTCCTTATGTAATGAGCTCAATCATAGCATCTTTGGCCCATGATTTGTCAGGTAAGATTCTTGCTTTCCTTTCCACACATGAATGTTGCCATTTTCTTTCAAGGAGTAACTGTCATCATTAATACTGCAGAACCAGACAGAATCCCTTAGATGCAACAAGACAGTTTCTTCATAATAGGTATTATGATCCGAGGATGGCTAATAATAGACTCACCAAGATCTTCTGCCTTTTTCAACTTCTCATTTATCATTTCCTGAGTGCGAGGGTCTGGTGGTGCAAGTACGGGCAATGGAGCCAGTGCTGGAGGATTTGAAAGTGGCTGTGGTAATGAGGCTCTGTCTTTGTTGAAGGCATCAAGAAGAAGCATGGACTGCCATTGGAAATAACAATGTTTTTTTTTATAAATGTTGGAAATAACAATGTGTCACTCCACAGAGCTAAGAACATGAGCAGGAGTCATGAAACTCTACACTGAAAGCAGCAATACAACAGAAATGAACAATCTACCTGTTTGTCTGCTCTTTTGGTTCTAAGTTCTTCCACCACTTCCAAAGCTCTAATCTTATTATCAGTCTTGCCTTCAAGATCTGCAAATTTATATCATTCATGTGTCTCATTACTAAACTTCTGTTAGTCCAATTAAGACATCTGTACATGTAAAAGGTTTCAATGATTCAAGAAACTGTCCTCACACCCCACATGAAATAATAGAAGAATCAGTTAACATAATTAAAGACCAATAAATATAAATGATAAGTATAAACAAAAGTTCATATTGATAACTACCATTAAATTTAAATAACACCCACTGCAAAATAAAAAAACAACAGAAATTGAATCAATTAAAATGTTTTCTTAAAAAGCAATTAAAACTATAAAATCAGTATTTTTTGTGTGAAAACTAAGAATTTAAGACCTAACGTGGACTTGTTTGGGCTTGCCTCGAGGGGCGTGGCACAAAGGCGGCTCGTAGAATCAGGAATGCAATATGTTTTACATTATATTAGCTATGTGAAGTACTGCAATTGAGTGAAAAAAGAGATTAAAGGTTTTACATGCTTGAAAATGTTTTATATGTTTGATTTTATTTTTAAATTCTCATTTGAATATGCTTTACATCTTATGTTTATGTATTTTAGTTTTAGATAATAGGTTTTTTAAAACATTATTTTAAAATTTAACTTTATATTTTTTAGTAATATTATGTTTAATATTTTTTTTTATTTTTTTGAATTTTCTGACATTTTTTTTATTTTTTAGCATTTTTTTCTATTTTTGTGCCTTGCTTCAAAAGGCGCGCACCTAGCCTTGCGCCTTGCACCTCAAGCGCAAATTGACCCCTACACCTTTTTTGCGCCTTATGCTTTTAAAATACTGGCTTTGACCATTGAAGAGGTTGGGGAGCTGAAAAAGGTGTTCACAAAGAAAGAAGTGCTTCAAGCAAGGTTGCATCCAACCCAGCCCACCCATTTAAAAAGAAATTATCAAACAAAAAAGTGCTTCAAGCAATAGGGGAAGTGGAAGGGGCAAGACACCAGTGCCAGATGGGTTCACAGTGACTTTCTACAAAAGATCTTGGAGCCTCTTGAAAGAGGATTTGATGAAGTTTTTTTAGGAATTAACGGGGCCTAGAAGAGGAGCCTCAAGTCCACTTTCATCACTATTGCTTTCTAAAAAAAAGGAGTGTTGTGAAGTTTTAAGGATTTTGGGCCAATTAGCTTAATAGGCAGTGTTCAAAAAATCATATTCATAGACAAAGCATTAGCTAAAAGAATGAATTAAGTGATGGGTTCAATTATCTCTAAGAAACGAGGGACTTTTGTGATTGAGAGGCAAATTCATGATGGGGTGTTGATAACCAATGAGTTAATTGACTCTCAGAGTATGGATGGGATGGTGATGTATCAAGGCAAGCTAACCTAACAGCACCTTGGAAGGCCATTCACAACACCCTTCCTCAATTCCTCAATTTTATCAGGTATGAAGTTTGTTTTGGCAACATTGTTCATTTTTGGGAGGATATTTGGGTAGGAGACACACCTTTAAAGGATTTTTTCCCTTCGCTATTTTCTGTTTCTTTGTACAGAAAAGAAGTGGTCTCAAAATTTTTCTCTCCTTTGGGAACACCCTTAGATCCTACTTGGGATTTTGGGTTTCGTAGAGGACTTAGGGATGATGAAATTGAATCTCCTTATGTCTTGCTTGGTTGTCTTAATCAGGTTTGTTTGGATCCTTCCAAACCAGATAAGAGGGTATGGACTCCTAGACCCAATGGAACCTTCACTTGTGCTTCTTTCTTCAAGTCCATCTCTCAACTTTCTACTCACCAACCCTTTCCGTCAAAAGAAATTTGGTGCAGGCCAGTTCCCCAAAAAATTATGGCGTTTTGTTGGGAAG